ATGGACGGCAGTCATAAGCATCGTATAAATATTATGAAGACAAACCAGCCATTTTCTTGGAGAAAGAATACCCCTAAAGAAAGAGCAGCAATGCAGAATGACAGAAGAAAGCAAAAGAGAAAGGCTAGAGCGGCGAACAAAGAAGATAAAAGAAGAAAAGCTTTGTTAGCACTTGAAGATGAGCGAGTGATGACCGTAGCGAAGAAAGAAAGATTGCTCCATCTTGCGAGGAAGTATTACGCTAAATGGCATGCTCTACATCTTCGTGAACGGGTAGGAACGCCATTTGATGTAATTTTTTGTAGTCCGTTAAATATCATCTAATGTTTACAGTGAAGGGTTAAGACTTTTAACATCTGCCGCTTCTGCAAATATCTCACAGCTATGTATTCATTACTAATTGAAGTAGCCAGGGGCCCGTTTCTCGAAAGCCCCGGTAACATTTCGGGCCCAAAATCAAATTTTCAAATCGAAATATAAAGAATCAGAATGCGGGTTCTGGCTAGTAAACTACTCCATTCTGTTTCATTAACTGATATTTTTATCATGTTAGATGCAAAACTATTGAAACCTCTACCTTGCATGTAAACAACAACAGCTTTACAGGCCCGTTAATTATTGGGAATTTCGAGAAATGGGCCCCAGCAGGTTTAAATACAGTAACCGACTGTAACAATAAGGTTCCGCTAGTCCCCTCCTTTTGGAAAAGTCTGTGGTGTGCTTCCCCAGAAAACTTTGAAATTTCAAAGCCCTAGGACGCGATTTACCGCGTTCTTGTTAATACTAGATCAGGAGCGGATCTAGAGGGGAGGGTGAAATGGGTGCGTCAGCAAAATTAAGCAATTAAAAAATGTAAGGGCTACTGAGAACCAATCAGATTTCATAATTGGCAAGAATGGTATTAATTTTTTTCAGACTAGCAAAATGGATAAATCAAACACTATGGAGAATGAGAAACAGGCACATAAAGATGCCCCAGTTTCTGCAGACCAACCAGTGTCATATGTAAAGAGAAGTCATCTCAGTCATGTGAAAGATCCAAGTTGTCGGGAAATGGTGCTCGCCGACAAAGGAAACTCTCACGTCTGAAGATTTTCACCAGATTTAATATTTCTCACTTTGTCGGTACACGTTGTGGTATTCTCTCCTAAATCGATCTTATCTGTCTGTAATTCTATATTTTCCTTAAGACGAATAGCCTATTGTTACAATCACGCGTTTCGCAATCAGTTCATGCACGTAACATAAAAGGTAACACAACTCGCTTCCGGTCACGACACTCTCCCCCTATTTGATACCGGAGGTGACAAATACACACAAAAAGAAAATCATTTGTTCAACTTAATTGTTCGTCTTGTCTGGCAATCTCTTTGATACGTTCCGCTGTGGCAACAGCTGCTCTCCTGGGTGTGAATGCCCTGGCTCTGGGGTTGAGGACATTTGACTCTGGGTCTTGAGGCTCCTGATATCGGTCGCATGACAACTCCATGGGGTACAACTGTTGGAGTGCGCGCTCCAGGAACGATTTTCCTGCCCTCAGTCTGGCTGCCCTGACAACACCGTCTCTCCCCTTGATGAGCTTTGCTACAATTCCGAGGTTCCACTTCCCTCTGTTTCTTTCGTCACTTTGGATTAGAACGACATCTCCGGGTTTAATCTGTGGTTCTTCTTTCTTGTGGTTGAGGTTATGTCTTTCTCTCAAACTCTTGATGTACTCCCCGGTCCATCGGGCCCACAACACATCCTTACAGCGTTGAAGATACTTGGCTTTCCCTAAAGTGCTCGCTGGGAATGAAAAGTTGGTATGTTTTGCTTCAAGAAAATTGTAGCGACAAACTAAGTGGATTTTCATTTAGATGTTTAATAAAAATCGTCCACGTACAGGCTCTTTTTGATCTCTTCCACTTCTTTTGGGTATCTTTCTTTTAGGCTTTCCAGGTGTTGCTGCAGTGTTCCCCCTAACAAGAATGGTGACTGCACCAGGCCAAACAATGCACGGGTAAATCTCAACACTTCCACATTTGATACATCTCTGTTCTTTATTCAGTGGAATCTTAAGGCATCTCGATCTTCTAGTCGAATACGTACTTGCAGGAAGGCCTGCTTAAGGTCACCAGCCAACGCCACTGGCTTCAGACGGTTTCTTATTAGCACATCCCACAGCAGGTTCTGAAGGGGTGGCCCCGTCTCCAAACAATCGTTAAGGGAGGGACTCTTCTCATTTGATCTCGCTGACGCATCGAACACGATTCTCAGCTTGGTGGATTCTGCTGACTCTCTGATGACAGGCTTGTGTGGGATGTCGAACTCTCTTCCCACTGGGTCTGAAGACACCTTCTCTACGATCCCTTTCGCCAACTGATCTTGAATGACTTCGTCATACTGGGCCAGAAGGTTGGGCTCTTTCTGTAATTTCTTTATCAGGCTTTCGAGTCTTCGTAGACTTCCACACTCGTTGTTTGGGAGGAGATCATGACCATGTTTCCATAGTAGCCCCGTCTCATACCATCCTTCATCGCTTCATCTGAGTTGCTCTTTAAAATCGTCGTACACTGTTTGCTGATCACCATTTGGCCTGTCCTCAAGGCCCAACACGTCAAGACTACACAGCTGGTCGTAATCAGTGGACGACGTTCTGGTGAGATAAACACTGCTCAGGTGTGCTTCCTTTCCGGCCGACATCATTGTCCAGCCTAAAGTGGTTAGCTCAGCTATGGGTTCTCCGGCCTTTCCAATTCTTGGTTTTGTGTCGGTCTTTATCCGCGAGTATTCACTAGCCCCCAGTATCAGATGGATGGGTAGTTCCGATTTCGTGTCTCCATCATCCATGACTACTCCTTCGAGGTGGGTGAACTGGTTGATCTTTTCCGAATATCTTGGGTTGGGCACCGACAGTAGGACACTTTTATCGACTTTGCTCACTGTGGTTGCCATCTCGAAACTCCCATGGGTGTTTGCAATCTTAACGTTGTATTGTTGAATCTTCTGGTTTGTCGAACACATCATCATGTCAATTCTCTTGTGCTCTATTCTTGACGGTTGCTTTCCAAGTCGTTTGACAAGTGCTGCTGAGGCATACGAGCTTTCCGCCCCAGTGTCCAGTAACCCGCGGCATGTTACTCCGTCCACATTGACAACCACGATTTGGTAAATGACTGCTCCTTCACTGGTGGCTAGCAACATCTGCTGGGAATCTCTGTCACATATTGAAGTATGATGTCTGCCGTTGCACTTCTGACAACTTCTCACAATACGACACTCAGCAGCTCGGTGTTTGGTACCAGTGCAGTTGAAACATAAACCTTTCTCACTGAGGTGCTTTCTTCTCTGTGCCACACCCACTATCTTGTCACAGTCGAGGGACTTGTGTCCGCTAGATTTGCAATAAACGCATGGTCTCGGTTTCCACTCGTCTTGCCTCTAGTTAAACAATTTGTCTCGGGATTTAGGCGGCAGGGTTCTGCCACTGCTTGGTTCTTCGGATGAAGGCAACGGATTTCTTTCGCACCACTTTCAAAGTGACTCTAACATCTGAGGAAATCCCCACTCTTGCCAGTTGTCGTCCAAACGGACAAGGTCAGCCCTGATGTCAGGTAGTTTGTCCAAGGTAACTCGAACGTAGCCATTTATCTCTTGAATTTTTCCCATGGTTTCCAGTGCTTGAGCATTAGTTGACAGCTTCTCGTAGAATGGGTGTATTTTTGCTGGCTGAGATCCCTGTATGGTGGATAAGGAAATAATACACTGCATGTGCGTGTTGGACACTTCGCTCGGTTTCCCGTACTTTGCTGTCAGAATGCTTTTAGCTCGTCCGTAGCCTTCTGTATTGTAAGGCAAGCCATCTACCGATGCACGAACTTTGGGGGTGAGAAGCTCTTTGAGGTATGAAAATTTCGCTACTTGTGTAATACTAGCCTTATCGATTTCAGTTTCGAATTGGCCCCAAAACCTCAACCAGTCAAGGTGGGTTCCTTGAAATTTAGTGATGGTTAACTTGGGTAACTTGGCGCCACTCTCCTTTAGAGATTTGTTTCGATCCTCTTCTAATTTCTTTTCGTGGTCGCGTTTGACCTTCAATTTTGCCTCCTCGAATTTCAACTCTTCTTTGTAACGACGATTCCTTTTCTCCTCTTCTTTCTTTTCCTCCTCGTCTCTCAATTCGCGTAAAGCCTCCTCTCGTAGATTCCTTGCCTCTACTCTCACATTATCGGCGAGTTTTTCGAATACGTCGACTTGCCCTTCGATTTCCAATGTCCATTCTCTCACGTCGTTCGGGTCGTCTCCTTGCTCTATTTTTAGCGCTTGTATTTGAACCTTCTGTTCATGAACGCCGTCTAGCTGTTTTTCCAAATCCTTTTGCAATCGCTCTAACACTTTCAGTTCTTTCTTCTCTCGAATTCTTGGTACTTCTTCGGTCGTGAATTTCAACATTTGGAGCTTTGCGTCGATCTTTTTCACCACTTGCTCAAGCTCAGCCATTTGTTGTTTTTGATAAAACCACGCGGTCAGTGTGATTTCAGTGATGAATTTTCTGTTTCTTTTAAGCCGTGTCCTGGCAGGGTCGCCACTTTTGTCGGGAAATGGTGCTCGCCGACAAAGGAAACTCTCACGTCTGAAGATTTTCACCAGATTTAATATTTCTCACTTTGTCGGTACACGTCGTGGTATTCTCTCCTAAATCGATCTTATCTGTCTGTAATTCTATATTTTCCTTAAGGCGAATAGCCTATTGTTACAATCACGCGTTTCGCAATCAGTTCATGCACGTAACATAAAAGGTAACACAACTCGCTTCCGGTCACGACAAAGTGGTTCTACTGACCAACCTCTGTTACTGGGATGTGGTGTCTTTGGACGTTGTTATAAAATGTATTACAGAGGGATTTCAGTTGCTGTTAAACAATTTAACACACACCTGTCATCAGAGTCCAGTGTTATCAAAGAAGCATCACTGATGAAACAGTTGGATCACCCATGTTTTCCCTACGTTTATGGTATTTGTGTACAAAGCAAACCTTACCTGTTAGTACTTCAGGTTTGCAATGTGGAAGGCAAAGCATACACTCTTCACAGGACGTTACATAGCCGTACCTTGGTTTTAAAAAATCAAGAGTGGTTTGATGTCATTTTGCAACTTCTAGAAGCACTCAAAGTGTTGCACAACTCTGGACTGATTCATCAGGATATAAAAGGTGATAACATCTTGCTTACATACAAAAATACACTGTTTGTGCCAGTAATCATTGATTTTGGAAAGTGCACTAGAAAACAGGAAGCCAGTAGAAAAGTTTTGTCCAAACAAGAAAAAGAGACATACAAACAGAAGTACACACATGTTGCCCCTGAAGTTGTTGCAGGAACCCACCCTCCATCTCATGCAAGTGATGTATATGCCCTTGGCCGTCTGTTAAGGCAGATTGCAACCAAGATTGGTTGCAAGCCACTTCTCTCCCTTAGTGAATGCAGCTTAAAGAATGACCCAAATGCTAGGGCTTCTTTGGATCACCTCTTGGTCAGTGTCAAGTCTCTGTCATCATGATTAGGTTCTTGATATTAAATAGAGAGGAGAAGTCGTTATGTCAGATTTGTTGATGACAACAAAGTGCAAAGGTCACTTAAAAAGTGAATTCACACTGTTTCAAACTTATCGATCTTATTCAGTTTCTTTTAATTTGTAAAATCGTGGCGAAATTATTTTCTGGGGTTGAATCCAAAAGGACCATATCTGACTTTAGAAAAAGAAAAAGAAAATTCTTGTGCTGTGTTCACCAACTCCATAAACCAGTTACGTGAAATTAGGAAGTTTCAAGCTGCAGACTTGCAACGATGGATAAGAAATGTACAGAAAAATGTGATGCACATGCAAAGTTGTTGTTTTGCTAGAGGATATTACATGGCCGCACGGAGATAAGAAATTTCTCTTCAAGTGTTGAGCGAGAAGAGAAATTCCGTATGTCCAAGCGGCCATGTAATGTTCTATTTATTATGTAAACACCAATGAAATACCAAACCATTTCACTTTAACAGTTTTTTGGTGTGAAAGGCACGATTTATTATCTAGCCATGGCAAAGGTGATATTTTCACATGTGAGGATAACATGTTATTTCCACCTGTGAAGATATCAAGTTTTTGCAAGAAAGCTCACCTAGTATTTCATTGGTGTTTATATAATAAACTGATTTCTTTTTTGCCATTCGTTGCCGTCGCTGTGGTTGTTGCTTAAGCTCCCCACTGTTGTGATCCAGAAATGTTGCTACCATGGTAAAGTGACATCATACTCCTTCTCTCTATTGGTTGTCATATCTCCCCTAACTAAAACACTCTGACACTGTGGCAGGGCTACAAACCCTTTAAGTCCCAAGAGTCACCCAAAACAGTTTTCCCCTCACAACATCATTACTTCATTAAAGGAAAAGATTATGACAACCAAATAAACACCACAAGGAGAAGGGTTTCATCTTTCAACAAATTAATTCTCTTGGCTAATGCGTGGAGATTATTTGGCAAATTGTGTATTTAGGTATTGGGGCTTAAAGGGTAAGAGTGTTTTAATGATGTTAATATTGTGACCTTTATTTTAAAAAAATAGCTTTCTAATAAAATTACTGATAAGTTACTGAAGTTTTTCTTTAGGTGGACTGAAAGCCAAGTTCACTCCGTCTGATCTTAGGTTATTTTTCTTCTGTTTTTAAAATGACCTGGCTATAAATTTAAATTTATAATGTGGATTTGACTATTGTATGACATATTTTACTGTACAAGTAAGGATTTCACATTCTGTGGGAGAATTGTTATTTACTTCAGGCTCAATTGAAAGCCAAAACCACTGTTTCTGGTCATACTACCAGGGTTTCTTTTTTCAAATGACCTCCTTTGCAAGCTTGGAACTACAGAAAAGTGATGGTGAAATATTTACCTTTAATTCGGGTTTCCTTACAGAGTAGGTGGAAACTTGTAGTTGCCCAGATGTTTTCATCTTTAGGCAGTGCACCGGAAACGGGACAGGACAGATGTTTCATCTGTTAAGTTAGCGGAAGCTTCCCTTGTGAGGTAAATTCAATGATTGGCGGAGGTATTAATTTTTCCAGACTAACTGTATGAAATCATCATGATTAGAAAGGTAAATACCAAAGGCTAAACTCAACATTGTTCAATCACTTAAATTTCACAAGTGTGTGTTCACTGCAGAGTAGGTGGAAGCTTGTAGTTGCCCAGATGTTTTCATCTTTAGGCAGCACACCGGAAATGGGACAGGACAGATGTTTCATCTGTTAAGTTAGCTAAAGCAAACTTTGTAGTGAATAAAAATAATGGGCAACAAGTTTTGGTTATGGACCGTGTTATTTCTGCAGTAAATATCATTCCCCTGTGGGTCATTTGAAAGAGAAGCTCTGGATCCCAAAATACATGATGGAGAGTGGATCTGGTTCTATTGCTTTTAATCACTGCTGAACACCACTTTACTTATTTAAAATGGCAGTGAAATGAGTTGTCAAGACCTGATGGTGAATCCCTAGTGTATAAGCACTCACAAAGTAGATAACTTTCTTGTATTGGGATCAGTTTTGGTTTAGATTGGGAGACTTTTGACAAAGGATTCAGCATGTTGTGCTCTTATGATTTTCTTTCTTCTTTTAAGATTTAGGCCATGGCAACAGTAGCACTACATGAACACTGTAGTTATTATTTTTTAATAAGTGAGTTAATAATCTCATCCAATTGGCAGTGTTTTTGCATAAAGGCTCTATGCCAGGTACCACACAGAAAACACACAATAGGTAATGGGCAAAAATTCTGGTGGTAGGGAAGTGCTTAAATCTAGGGGTAAGGGGACCAGGAGAGAAGCCCTCCTGGGGGGAGATAAGATCGAGTGGTACTGGGGGTAGCCACCCTGGACAGGAGTCCTGGTAGTCTCTGGGGGTGAGGCCCATATCCCCCAGTCACTAGGAACTAAGGGGAACCGGGAGGGGTGGCCATCCTGGGTGGAGTACAGATCAGGTGTGACCGGGGGTCCATACCCTGGAGTGGACATTTTTCCAGACCTGTCTCCAAAGGCTAATCCTTACTGTGGGGTAAAGTGCAGCCAGGGGTTGCACTTCCCTGCCACTACTTTTATTGGGAAGCAAGACAGTAGTTTCACATCCCAGGAACTTAATGAAGGAATAAGACCTAGTCCAGTATAACACCATAATATAAATGATTAATCTTTAACATACATTTAGATGTAGAAGAATAAAATAATGATCTGCTTCAAATACGTTCTGGTCGTGCTAAATATATACTGAACATAATTAATAATGGAAAGAGCTAAACAAAGTTTCCAGTCAGAACAAAGGGTGGGTGGGAGGGAAGAAATGCTGTTGTGAATGAACCGAAGCCCTAAGAGAACTGACTGGGAACGGACAGTGTGCGGCAAATAGAGGAGCTCATGTGCATGATGAGCATGTGGTAATAGAAATGGAACCCTAGTGCAGTCTAGTAAATATATCATGCTACATTACAGTGGACTTTGCCAAAGGAGAAGGATACATTGTAATCAAACAACTAGTTACTGTTCATTGTTCTTTCTTGTAATTTGAGCTAGTACCTACCATTACTTAATTAGTACAAAAACTTATTCAAATGTTGAATTTTGTGTGGCAAAAGAACAGAGACATGACTGTTGCTAGTACGTCAATAAGTGTGGTTTCATAGGGCATAATTCTCAGGTTTATTAACATCAGTTTATGCTACCATAAACTTGAATTTATCTTTATTTTTAGCAATACGTTTCTATAGAAATCGTCGCCTGCAAGTTGCTCGCGGGCCAAGACATGCTTGGGTATTTCCTCGTCCGCAGAACTGGTTCCAGGAACTTTTAAACAGCAGAGCTCTCAATCGCTGGTGGAAGGAAAACTTCCGCCTGTCTCAGGCTACTTTTGAGTATATCTGTAGGCTGGTAGGGCCAGCAATAGCGCGACAAAACGCTAGAATGCGTGATGCTATTCCAGTTGAAAAGCGGGTGGCTGTGAGCTTGTGGCGTTTGGCGACTGGCGAATGCTACTGCTCGTGTGGACTGATGATCGGACTGGCAAAACCTACAGTGGTTAAGTGCTGTTATGAGTTTGTAGAAGCAATTTGCCGTCTGCAGGATGACTTTTAAAAAAAGCAGGAAAATTGAAGGTTTCACTGAGAAGAGCAAGGTTCTGAATGTTGTTGCAGCGATTGACGGTAGTCACATTCCTATAAAAACACCAAAAGAGAATCACAAGGACTACTTTAACAGGAAACATTTTTACAGTTATTTAGTACAAGGGATTGTTGACTCTTCGGGACTCTTTTTATCTGTTGCCACTGGGTTTCTCATGGAACCTACCATGGATTTGGGGGTAACCGTAATTCGCCCACTTGTGCTGGGAGATTCAGCGTACATATTGAAGACCTGGCTTCTACCAGTTATCAAAGATAATGGAGCCCTTAACCGAGACCAGAAGAAGTTCAATAAGGAACTCTCTAAAGCACGAATAGTTTCTGAGCATGCGTTTGGTTTGTTAAAGGGTAGGTGGAGAGCACTACTGAAGCGCTTGGATGAGGATCATTGGAGGATCCCAAACACCATCATAGCATGCTGTGTACTTCACAACATTTGTATTATTCGAGGGGAAGAATTTGATGGAGATGTCGAGGACGATAGCAATGATGACGATGATGATTACAATGGAGTTCCCAGCCAGGCTGCAAATGGTGTTCGACTGGCTGTAATTGAATTTGTAGCAAATCAATAATTTTTTTTTTCAGTGATGCTCTCTGCTCCGTAATAAAATAAGGTAGTATGGACACTAGTGTAAAGGCCTTCCATAGTAAACACCTCATGAACAGCCGCCGAAAATGAAAACAGAGGAGCCCGGTTTACTTGCAAGTAACTGATCAACACTAGACCATGTTTCTGTTGTTGGCCCTTTATAATTTCAATATTGTAAAACCACTCCCCTGATTACACTTTTCTCACCATTTAATCACAACGTTTGATTGTAAAACTCTATTTTTATTAAAATTTTCATTAAAAGAGCAAAACTGAATTCCCAGGTTTAATAATAATCATACAAGCTTTCATGTTTCTTGTGAATGTTCTGAACTATAACTGACGCAAAACTGTAACATGGCCATGCCTAGTGGCAGCATTTAAGAAATTATGTGAACATTAAAATATAGAAAAAATATCACATGAATTTTCCTTGTAACACTTTAATCTATTAATAAAAAACACGTGAGAGTTCGTTTGTCGTATTGTGTATAAAATGGTTTAAAATTCACGTTCAATGTCCTTTAAAACAGAAAACTACAACTTGAACAATTGATTTTTTAGTTGTGTATACCGTAAAGAAAAAAATTCTTTATTTTTTTGAAGAGAAAATCTCGCCCAGTTTGCCCAAGACAGAAAGAGTAAATTCCTGGTGCCTTTGTTGAGAGTCGCTTTGGGATTTTAACAAAGCCTCGAACATCCGCTGGTCTTTCTTGTCTGCTTTCTTGATGGCTGCTTGTTGTGCCTCCATGAGATTCAGAATGGTACTTTCTGCCTCTTTTCCATCAAGGCTTGCTCTCTTCTTCTTCTTTTTTGGGGGGCAGGGTGAATCCTCTTTCTCATTGGGCTTTTCCCCAACAGCGACTGTTGTTGGATCAGCAGTAGTAACAGTAGCTAACTCGTCACTGTCCCTACTCTCGGAATTTGTCGCGGAATCCTGTGGCCTCACTTGCATTACTCTTGTCTCCTTGACAAATTTCGGGTTCACTTTGTCGGACCCTGACATGAACTCATCGATCTCATCGTAAAACTCAAAGGTCTTACAGTCCCTTCCTGTCTTGTTGTTGTTATCTTTGACGGCTTTGTATTTGTCGAACAAAGAGCGCCATTTCTCTTTAATCTGGGCTAGTGTTTTCTCTGATTCTATGCCGGCGTCGCAGCAGAAACTAACAAAATCTGCCATAATTGAATCCCATATGCTTTTCTTGCCATGGCTACTCTTTGTGGACTTTAAACGATTGTAATTTTCCCAGCAGGCTGCAATCAAGCTTCGTGTTTCTGCATGTTCCCAGCTTGTACGCCTGCTCTTTTCTGTGACACCCTTCTCACCAGATAAGTCAGCTTGAGAACTGCTGATTGGGCTACAAGATCGCGGAGCCTCCTTAGGAACGTACTGGTAAGGTATTCTTGGGTTGCTAGTTAAATAATACGGATATGGAGAGTAAGCTCCTGGTTGATTTTGATAACTCTCTTGCTCTCGACTTCTCTGAAATAAATAACCGTTGTACAATGGTGTATCTTCCTCACCATCGTCTGATCTAAAGTTGCTGTGAAAAAAAAAAAGAATTACAAAACTATGCCGCACTAAAGGAACTCAGATAATTAGGGTATTTGAGAAAAGACGAGTAAAATATACTCACTTTGGACCTCGAAAGTTTGCCATGCTTGTTACCGCGTGTCCCGAATTTGGTACGTGCCAGAGCATTTGCCGCGAATTCAGTTCAACACCGCAAAAAATGTGCCCAGCATGTGCTGCGGTTTCCTGTATTTGCAATTTTCTTCCACCCGATTGGTTGAACTAGATAAACCAAGGCTAAACCGTACTACTTGGTTCTGGGAATGTCATGGGTAATTCTTTTGTTCTTTTTGATGTATCCATAGTGATTTCCCGTGGGCAGTTTCACTGTGGGAATATCGGTCACACACAAAACACAGTCTGTGTGTATATCTATAGTGGAACCGCAACTATAGTTCAGTGTCAGAACCTACAAAACGCGCGGGAGGACGTCTGTTGGCCAGGAGGGGGAGGGTCTGCTGAAATGGCTGCCTTCTCCAGAAAGGGGTCCTCATGGCAAGATGGCTGGGCAGCTGTGTCGTCCATGATGCAGTCGGAATGAAAGTCAGGAGCAGGTGGTGTAACACAGCGAGGAGTGTTAGATAGATGCTAGGCTGAAGCAGAGATTTCATCAGGGATGACAGGCAGCGAGGGTGAGGTGAGGTACCAGTATCGTCTTCATCATGCGCGTTGTGTCCGCAACATGGGCAGGGAACACGTAAGGGGTCAGGCAAGTCTAAGGGTACCTTGAAGCACTTGGAAAGCTTGACATGTTATGATGAGCTTTGTAACTGGGAGCCAATGAACTTTTTGATGTCACAGAAGGGTGAATCTATGGGTACAACAAGGTAGCAGTTGCAGGCTCGAGACTTGTTCCGATCGGAATGAAGGTACACTAGGTCACCAACATCAATGAAAGGAGTAGGACACCTGTTGTGCAAGGGGGCTTTGGAGTGCTCACTTAGGGGGTGGTTGGATAGACACTGCTCATGCTGGAGGGCGATTAAATGGTCATCAGCAAGGGTTATCTGCTGGTTTGAAAACTGGTCCCACTGTGTCCACATTTCTCGCAAGGATAGGCCACGTGAACGGATAGAGAGTTCAAGGCAGAAGTGGCTACAGAGACCCTAATTTAGCCCTGCCAAGCTCAATTGTAATTCTATGCTTCTTTAAGAGTGGGTCATCAACGAGAGCCTTAAAGCCAGGTGCAGGGTCAGTACGGATCAGGGCAGATGGGCCATCCATAGGGCGCAGTTCCAAGCAGAGCTTTACAATGGCATCGTGTAACGTTTGATGACACTCATCTTCAAGAGATATGCTGGAAGTGTAAGAGGTCACAGTAACGTGAAGGACAAAGATAAGCTGGCGAGAGCATTTGATGACATCTGCGGGAAAGGACTGACCAATAGTGTTGGATGGTGGGGAAGTGGACTGTTCAATACATGCGGTTGGAGAGCTTTGGATTGCTGCACAGGAATGGCCTCCATCAGAGACAGGAGATGGCCTTGTCCAGATCGATAGCGTATAGGCAGCATTTGACGACCATCTTCAACTGGTGGGGAATGGGTTTCCAAAATGTACATGTTCCATTTTTTTTGTATAAGTGTGTAGTTGAAATTCTAACAGATATTTGTTGGTGCTGTGGCCATTTATTTTACTCCACTGCACTTACATCCATGTCAACATGCACATTCGCTATAAAACAGCCTTTGCAGCACAGTTATCTGGAAGCTTTGGCAAAGATGGCCTTTACCATCTTTACCCATGAGTCATGCTACACAAATGTGTATGCGCTCATTGCAATCTTTTTGTGCTGATTCAAGTCACAATGTCAACAATTTTTTTTGCTTGTGACCAATGACATTTATGAGCTGACTACAACAACACAAACCCCTAATTGCTTATGAAAGATTACACAAACCTCCATTTCTTGGGCGATGCAAAACCATATATATTCGCCTGGAATTAGCCCTCCCCCTGCCATAAATTCTAAGAAGTTCCTTGGCGTCTGGTATGCCTTTGTATACTTTTTCCATTCTGCTTCCACGGTTTGCGGACTTGTGTAGACAAATTCTATGAAAAGAAAGGGCCAACATTGACACCACATACAGTTTACAGTTGAAATGGGATTTCAATTCACTATGTAGTAAATATAGTATGTAGTAAATATAAATAGAGATGATCATTGATAAGTTTCTAGACTTGTTTGACATGTGTTATTCCAGTCCATATTCCCCTCTGCCCCTTTGCCTCCTCCCCCTTCTCCAATGGTTAGCCCTGCCAATCTGAAAATTCCAGTTAAGGCTCCTGCTTTCCTTAAATATTTTACCAATTGCCGGTTTTCACTGTCAAACCATCATCAAAACAATTAAACAGATGAAGTCAAGAATCAAAGGGATAAAATAAGCTGAATATTTAAACAGTCTCGCAAAGATTCAGGTCTGTGCGATGTTTCGTGCGAGGGAGGGTCACAAATATGGCAGTTGGAAGCTACCAGTCAATTCCACCTTGCTTTAACAGAAGACGAAAAACCCGATAAAACTGAAATTTGTTAAAAGAAAAGTCTTCAACAGTTCTATGAACCAACTTAACTAAAATCTCATAAGGATTGATAATTCCTTATTTTTAATGTTGATGACGACACGTCAAATGACGCTCTATGGGGTGGGTCTGAATTTTTTTTCTTGAAAGACGGATTCTTTCCGCCCACCATTACATGTGTTATAAAAGGTGCTGCTTTTGTATATTACGAGCAGATTTCACACCTTTACAGGCCTTACAGTGGCAGCAGGTCCACTGCTCATACTTAACAAATAGTTAAAGGATAAGCGGTAAATTACTATGCTGGAATTTGCATTGTTTTGCCTTACCTGGTTTTTACATTACTATAAACTTATCCGTCTACATCCAGCATTCAATGCATACAACTTGCATGCGAGATTAAGTGCTCTGGTACTTATCCT